AAGCATGCACTTCTCGTAGAGCATTTGTAAAATTACTAAGGAAATCTGGCGTTTTGTAATCGCTCACACAGGATAGACTGAAGTCTATCGATAAATATCCGTGCGTAATAGATGCTCAAGTCTACGGCCTACACGTAATTATTGTGGAATTATGCAAGAGTCCGTAGCGTTTTTCTCGTGGTTTGACCGGCAATAACTGGCAACATGTAACTTCTCGACGTCTGCATGAAAGTAGACATATTCACGAATAATGAGCTGCAGGTAGGCCTATGTTTTGTCGTTCAGAAACCGTAACGCTAACACTTCACGCCAGTCCAACATCATTACAAGAAGAATGAAACATGCGGGTAGAAAAACGCCCCGGTGATTAAACTTGAACAATATCAAAACAAATGGGAAGTGTGAATGCACACTTTGATAGTTCATGCTTGACAGTGCATTGCCAAGTCACCCATAAATATCTGGGTTTTTATTTTTTATCTCGGCGTGTTAAATGTTGATTGTAGAGATGTCTCCCTTAATTGTTTTTTCGTCAATGTTGACTGAACTGGCTGATTGTATACGGTAGTGATGTACTGTATGAATTCAGTCAGCTGTTGTTTTTATAGGAATAATTCATTTTCATCTCATATTTACTTTAATGAGACGACGGTGCAAATTTGTTTTGGGAAAGGGCTATTCTAAACAGCTAAAATTCAACCTGAAATCCATGCATTGATCACAACCGCTGAGTGTGGTTGCATTTCTTGTAATAAATGCTCCTTGATTCATGGTTTAAAATAACAGCTTTTCCCAACGAGTTCTCTTTAGTATTGGCAACTTATTTCCCCACCATCTGAGAAAAACATGTCTTTTTTATTTGTGAAAGTTTATTCTTTAACAACAACGTGTGTTAATTCTTAGCTTCTCACCCACTGGTATTAGGTTTTGCCATGTTGCCTGATCTGAATGTACCCATTATGGTGATGACGGTGTGTGTTGAGATATCACCAGCTGGTGGAACTTTGAAAAGCGTTACTCCTTACGTTTCAAAACTCGCAAGGTTAAGGAACGTGTTGACACCCTGAATGCCACTGACTAAATTCCATTGACTAAACGCATACGTATTAAGGTAAAGATTTCAATGTCCTCAGAATTGAAACGTTCTCAAAGGATGAATTGAGGAATTACATTCGTTTACCGCATAAAGCGTTTGGGGCCTCGGTATTGGTCATAGGCTCAGTATAAAATCTTACAATGCTAAATATTGATAGCTGGATTATCAACTTTTTCGACCGGAATATACCAAAACAAGTATTACTTAGCCATTGCCATATGGATCGTCCTGTATTCTGTTGATTAAAAACATGTTTGGCGGAGTTTTCTTTTCCAAAAAAATAAAGGTTAGTGATCGTTCTCCTAACACACTACAGATCTTCTAAACTAGATTTACGACCCACCTAGAACCTAATTTCACATGAACATATAGATATATATCGATGCCTCTGGTTTGAACAAATAATAGCAATACCGTAAAGGCCAGTTCAATCCGGTGGTGTAGCTAGGATTTTACAAGTTGGGGGCACGAAGGGGGCACCAGCATTTTAGGGGAGGCACCAGCTTTCATTGGTGTTTTTTTTGGGGGGGGAGAAAATTTTTTGTTAACCTTGTTCAATATCCAATCGTCCTTTTTTTAGTGCAGGGGCACCACCTGGGGAAGAGCACCGGGAATTTTTGGGAGGGGCGGGGGGCACGTGCCCCCTCTCCCTCCCTACCCAGCTACGCCATTGGCTTAACACAACAAGCGATCATGAACTGCGATTTGACGACGCCAGATCAGTATTCGCGCCGCGACCTTTCAAAAGTTGAAAATATTTCAACTTACGCGATTTTCGCTGAAGACAGGAGGCGTCAAATTATTTGTGTCCCATTTGCATGTGTTGGCCTTTAAGAGAATCGAACAAGAGTGCAATACGCTGGCGCGTTTTTTTATGTATTTTGTAAAAAATGTCCACTGCCTAGCCATCGGTTGGGAGTCGTTTACTGCTTGCTCTATATTCGTCGGTCGTGCTTCGCTGGACACTTCGTCGTAACACTGTCAACCCTGAGGACGCGGAACGTTTGAATCAGAAAAGTGACCCACGGCTCATAGGAGACAGATTCTTCGCGGTTGATCGGTATTTGGTGTTGATTGAGACAGCACGTATGAAGGTGTTCTCTAGATGTATACATCTGTATCCCTGCAGTCACACCATCCTTCAGGAATGCCAGCTTTATACACGGAGAGGCTAGTCACGATGACATCGTCGATTCACCTCTGTCAAATTGTCAATCTTGGACGATCACGTGCTTAAGTTGTCATCAGTCTCGCAAACCTTGCCCGACGAATGCAAAAAATCCTAATTTATGTCCTTAGCTAAATGGGGGTCCCTTACTTATGTGTTTGTTTACAAATGCCATGACGCAGGGTCATTCCAAAAGTTGTCAAGAATTCTGTTGTGAAATATGAGGGGGAGAGAGCGGAGAAGGGGACGGTTCCTGGACTTTTTTAGGACCCTTGATATCTCACAAATACCACACCAAGAGCTATACCGATAAAGAAATCTACCGTATTTTATGCAAACTGCATGGTTTTTCTCGGAAAGAGCCCTTGCTCGTACCTGCTATAAATTAATAAATATGACTGGACAGGCCTGCCCAATTAAACCTTGCTTTCAGTGAAATTTTGCTTAGCCATGATATACGAGATAATGATCCGTTCCTTAATGGCTGAACATAAACCTTGCACATTTGCCAGTCCGTACAGGACGGTTCCTGGACTATTTTAGGACCCTTGATATCTCACAAATGCCACACCAAGAGCTATACCGATAAAGAAATCTACAGTATTTTATGCAAACTGCATGGTTTCTCTCGGAAAGAGCCTTTGCTCGTACCTGCTATAAATTAATGAATATGACTGGACAGGCCTGCCTAGTTAAACCTTGCTTTCAGCGGAATTCTGCTTTAATAGCCACGAATTAATAAATAAATGCTATAAATTAATGAATATGACTGGACAGGCCTGCCTAATTAAACCTTGCTTTCAGCGAAATTCTGCTTAGCCATGATATACGAGATAATGATCCGTTCCTTAATGGCTGAACATAAACCTTGCACATTTGCCAGTCCGTACGCTGATGATAGAGGGAGCGTACACAATATTGCGCAAATATTCAGCAATTGATCTGTTTATGAGCAATAGAAGTACACCTTTGCCACGGCCTAAGTGCTTGAACTTAACCTGGGTTACCTTCACTAGGTCATTGGTTGAATATCTGTCCCCAAAATATACACAGGTACCGTGATTATCACTCGTCTGCTTAGTAACAATGCACCCATGATGCACGCTCTCGGACGTACGTTTTCAAATTGTACACATTATGCACTTCTAGAAACCTACAATTAAGCTTTAACATAAGAAGCAGGGTAGAGGGACTGGCTTAGTTTGAAAGCAACCCTGGCATTTTATGATTCAAGCATTACGTTCAAAATTCACTGCACTTTCCAGTTTCGGGTCATCTCTAATTGCTATAAGGTCCCGTGAAACATTCTACACGCTCAGTGGGGTTCAGACAAAGCTTACAGTTTGGGAGTTCACGGCAAATACTTCAACGAAGTAACATTTACACGGTACTTCCATTCTAGGGACACGCTAATTCCCTAAGAAAAGTAAGATCTTAAGGATTCGAACCCTGACAATGGTCTGTAGTGCAAGTCTGGCTCTTGTTCATAAGAATATTATGGCAAAATTTGCCGTTTTTCAAAACACAACTATCCTGAGTTAATCGATCTACATAAAAAAGACTATGGCGGACACGGTCTCTTGAAGCAGTTACAAAAGAAAAGAATGAAAAAGGTACCGCGTCTTCTGAGAAACCACTTAATTAAGCTCAGCCCTTCAGCGAGGTCCGTTGTGGTAACTCAGAGATCTGATTTCGGCCTTCTGAGTAAAGATGAGCTCATCGTTTATACTAAGAAGTCAGAACTATCAGTGATACAGTAATCGATTATCATATTCTAGAGAGAAACGTGCATGCTATTGATTAGCCTCGATGCTGACAGTTGGGCGCTGTGCTCTTTGTTGGGAGGAAGGTCCACTTTGGTGACCGGATTACCCCCATATAGCACCAAGATATTTGTTGTACTTGGGTCATTCTGTAAATTTGGGGTCCAAACGTGTGAGACTTTCGTGTCCCTGTTGCTCCTGGCCTGTGTTGTTTCACAGGGAAATATCATTAAGATTCACATCGAATATTTCTATTTATTTGGCAGGTGATTTGTATTGCTGAAATAATGTTGCAAATTAAAGAATGTGTTCTGAACAAAAAAACAAAACCATTAGGGGCACGAAAAACATTGGACCCAAATATGCACTGATCCACAATACTTTGCAGGCCAACAAGTTTCCATATTTCACAAGAGCAGGCACATATTAATAATCCTGTTTTTGTAAATGAATGAAGCAGTCTCTATGGCTATGGACCATCCCTCTGCTAGTAAGTCGCGAGCACGAACCAATGCTTGACAGTAGGGCCTAAACCGTAGCTTCCAAAACCTATTTATGTCGCCAGTTGTGTTTAACTTTGGAAAGCAATTATTGTTTGCCAAACGATAACGCAGGCCCACCCATTACAACAGAATTTACCAACGTCTGGTTCATTGAGGACTACCAAGAATACTTCTATAGCGAGAAACAATAGAACGCGTCGTAATATTTAACCGATATACAAATATGGTATGGATAGCACATATTGTGAATACCCTTCCTGAGAGATCATCACCTCTCCAATACTTTTTAAAATGAAGCTGACCTAAATGTCAGTGTTATATATCACAAGTCTGTCCGACTAACTATATACTTCCAGAACAGTTACGTCCACAAATCGATGCTACTCTCGATTTGGTTCGTGTGCTTTCAGTACTGAACATCACACCGGTTGGTAGAGATTTCACTTCGTTGAGACAGTGGCAACACGTACCTGGATTTGTTGGATGCCCACACGATGACAGCGTATAAAATCCACGTTACGGCCCCCATGCCACGTGTGTCGCTCAAGCTCTTCCCCACGACGAAATGCTCGATTTCACAAGCGGACTCCAAACCATAATACTAGAACGTGTCATGTGCTCGCATGCATTTGCCTTGTTGGCAGAAATTGCTACGAATGAAGACACACAACCGGAGGAGATTCAGTCAACGTGATGGCGGGTACCTACCCAATGTTTACTCTGTGGCTGTTTATGAGTGGGCGGCGCGAAACGAAAGAATTGAATAAGGAATATTCCTGATATAATGTCTTGTACTCTGCCCCAGTAGCGTTCATGTGGTTTTATTTTTGAAGGGACATGCGCAGTAAAAGCCATCAATCACTCTTTCTCAGTCTGTCTGCTCGATATTAAAAAGCCGGAAAGAAAAGGATACTCAATCGTCGAGTGAAGTCCTTTCAGTGATAGGCCTACTCCATACCCGAAAGCGTTATGACACTTCTTCAGGTTTAAGAGCAAATTGGGCTAGATATATGGCATCCAATTACGCGTTTATTAGACCTAATTTCCTGTGAGCCCAATGTACCATCATTGCCATTGCCAGGCAAAATGACTTCCACCTAACAAGCAGTTTGCAACACCGACAGTCACTGCGTTATTCGATCATTCAATTAACAAAACGTAGTGAACAAACGATTTCCGAAGCGAAGTAAAGTTTTAGAAGTGTGCACAGGGTATCTTAGAACCTACCTGCAACGCCCTCAGTGGCGAAAACACCTTAGACACCCCCATCGGCAAATTATTAAGCCCAAAACACAAGGTCATTCGGGAACAAACCACCTGACATCATACGACCTCGGAAGTGTTCTTTCCTTTGAATCGGCATACTGCCTTGCTGATATGGCCGACTGTAGATGTCGGGATTTATTCCAGATCAATGACACCGATCTGGCAGGTGTATTGGTGTTCGTGAATGATCCACGATCCACTTCGTTTTGTGCATGCGCTGTCACAGTACCAGAGTGGCTCATTACCTTTCACTGAAAATTAACAGGCTCTTTAAGTAGGCATATAGGGGATAGGCTGGGTCAAATCTGAGAAGACAAGAATGTAGGAAAAAGAAAACTCGTCCTTCAGTGCACTGCACTAATTTCCCCAAATAATTTTTGCATAGTTCAAGTCTTGACATGGTACAAATTAATCAGCTAAAGCAACGGTGAAATATTGTGTTCGGGCTTCAACGGGAAATAATTTATCACAATTCTACAACAGGAAGATAATTTGCCACCCGCGTGGATAGATTCCTCAATTCGTAAAGGATTGCATGCATTAGGCGGCTCCATAGCATGTGCCTCGCAATGCTGCAGCCGGTGACTAGAAAGAATGTTTAATAGCGATCAATGTACTGCATAATCAACTCCGAATTGGCCGAGCGTGCATTATTCCTTCCGAATAACTTCTGTCGTATGTGGTGCTCGGTTTATTGGGCGCTGCGGGGCGAGATTGAAGTTGAATTAAAGAGGCATGCTATGGCGTGTGATGATAATGAAAAATGTTGGGCGGATGATTGCTCACATGGGAGCACAGGAAACGTGATGATTGACAATAGTCGTCATTCCTTGTTGGTCATTCCTCTGGACCGTCACTGAACGGAGTGATAAGAGACGTTGAGCTATTTAAAGGGGAGGAGCACGGACGCATATAAAAAAAACCTGGATTTGCAACGCCTTTGTATAAAGAAGAAGCCAACCAGCGACCATTTTACCGAGCCGGGTACATATGGTGGATTGGCTCCCCTCTATTGACGTTAGGAAGAACAAAGGCAGGCACCGCCAGGAGAGCTTTGTATTCGGCTCTGTAAAATGGCCGCGAGTGGATTAATGATCCCTATAAGCTGATTAAGGGCATTGCGAGTCCAGATTTTATTATACCCCTCCGTGGGGAGGAGGGGCATGAGGGATCTTGCCCATTCATGCACCCATTCCTATCGTGGCTATGAGCCTTGAGCTGGACCAGCAGAGGGCGCGATTTTCTTAGCAACGGAGGCGCCTTTGGTCAGAACTGAACATTTTGCTGATTCACGATCGACTATGAAATGCACGAGTTACAGTCACATCGCTAAAATGAACGCTCTCGACCAATATGGCTCTTTTCAACCAATGAGGGGGCGCTTCTGCTCGAGACAGATAGATGCTGATGAAGGTCTTTGATATTTTTTTAGATTATTGCAGCCTTTGTACCAGTGCGCGTCAGTGACATCAACATTAATGTGGAAGGTGATTTTGAGTGGGAGTGTTTTAGTCTCTTGATTTTAAGTGGCTACACACCTTTGACAGAGTCAGGGTAGGTCTAACTTTAATCCGTAAGGAGGTTGTGATGATGATAGATCGAAAAGCTTGGTTTTTGAAAGAATGTGCCTTTTGCTGTCTAGGGGATTTTCCACAACAACGTAAACATTACTGGATGCTGCCGGCAGTATCCCCCTTCTAATTCTGCCACTGGAATTAATAATCGCAAAGTGAAAATCATTTTGAAAAGGAGTCTGGTGCTAGACTTGACAGTATTTGGTACATGCAGGCACACGAAAGTAAATGGAAAGAATACCTGCAGAGTCAGAATTAAATATTCAGGCGGGATGTTTTGTGGGGGACGGAAATTTAGGAATTTCTTTGTGTAACCTTTGTCAGGGCTGAAGCTAGATATTCATAGGTTAGAAATGGTCACCCTAATATCGTGTTTTTCTCATTATTCAAATGAAAATTTAACCCTTTTAGGGGGCCCCACCTGGACCCGCCAAAAGAGCCTAAAGGGTAAAAATCACGGGGTGAGTACTACGAAACTCTTGCATGGCCCGCCTAAGGGGATTTTAACATTGGGTCGCCCCATCACGTTCTCCCCAGGAAATAGTCCTGTCGGAATTTTATCTCCCTTTTATCTCCCGAGAAATTGTGGAAAAATTTCCTAAAGGTTGGGTAAACAGAATTTCATGCATGAACTTTCAAAACTGGCACTGTCGTCATTAGGTCACCGTGTCTGTATACGTTTGTTGGCACATCATATCGTTCAGTGGTAACAAGAACATACAACGTTGTAAAGACTTACCTTCCTGCTTTCAGCCAATGAGTTCTAGATTTAGTGGGGGCTGGCCTGGTGCGTGCAGTTCTTGTCAAAGGTGAGATCTGACCTTAGATTTTTTTCATAAAATGGTCATTATGCCTGTAGATTTGTTGAAAAAATTGTAGCCCGTGCAACTTATTTAGGTCTTCTATTTCAATTTCATTTTTTACATGTAGACCTACCTACAGATCGCGGTGACCAGAAAATAATGTTGTGCAATTAACTTGTGCATTCGATATTTTCGGTAGTGAAAAGTCAGGTTTAGTATGGTGTTTCTCTTTCAGATCAAACCTTTTTTTTTTAATTTCCATATGTTTGCAACTAATTGACAAGGGACGTTATCAGAATTGATGGTTTGGAAAGCAAGGGGTTCCGGAAGCGCGCTACCAGGCGTCAAATTACAGGCTCTGTGACGGTAAACCCTGCGGTGGCCCAGTGAGGACATTTTTATGTGAACCTTGTCCATATGAAGGTTTCGACTTTTTCCATCAACGTTCCGTTTTCACAATGTTTAAGTTGCATCCTTCTTTCATGGTTGCACGGTGCTTGATATAGCGATGTCAACATTCCACCTTCGCAATAATTATGAACGATACAGCTTGGCGAAATGAACGTTCAATCTTGGATATATTAACCAAAATGATTGATTCGGGACTAAATCATTTGATCTTTCGAAGCATAATTTTTAAGATTTTACTTTTTTGCAAATCTTTTATGTAAAGTTTCCACTTAAATCATATATAATGTATTTTTGGTAAACAATATTCCATACAAAATAAAGGAATATCGGCCCAAACCTGGAAAAAAAGCCGTGTTGTTTTCATATAAATTATAAATCTGCACAGGTATCTAAAATGACGGAATTCCTAAAAGGGATTGTCTGCATTGGTACAGCGGAATGGCACAACTGATAGTCGTTTCTCCTGTATTTCTTTTAACTTTCTGTGAAGATTATCACTGCAGCTGAGAAATGTCAATCCATGGATGACATTAATTAACATCGTGTAGTTCGACCTGCTGTTGCATTGATTGCACTGCGCACGACATGAGTGTGTGACATTAATCCTTTGAAATTACTTGTAAAAGCTAGCTCTTATGTTTATTGCAGATATGGGCAGTTCAAAGGAAGCACACTTAAAATTATGCCTGGAAAGTATCAGCAATTTAGGCCCTGGAATTGGCGACATGAAACAGTCATCCCGTTGTTTCCCGTGTCCCGTTGGTCACTCAAGCGAGGACACCGTAGTTTATTCAAAACTTCAGGGGCCATGGTTATCTTGCCAAAGAAGCTTCGCTCATCGTTAACATCAGGATGGCGCAAGGTCATCAATAGTGCTACTGTGATTTGTGGATAAATGGCGAAGATTGACAATGCAACATCAGTATCAACTCGAGCACCGTTCATGCTAAAGTAGCCAAAATCGAACGTTCACTTCACTAAGGTTCACGTCGCAAACGTGGAACTTTGACACAGCGCGCATAAGTGACATTCTATTCATGTTAAGCGGTAGCTCTTGATTGCTTCAAAATATCTCTATCTACGTCAAGATATTTCAGAAACATTTGACATATCATATTGTTTTCGCTTCCGTGAGCCGCACATCAGTCCATTTTGACCCTGGAATACACACAATGCTACCGGCGAAAGTGGAAATGATTTCGGCATATCTCTGAATCGATATTGAGATACCCCCAACACATTTAGACATACCTTGAAATCTATCTCAAGATAACTCTAAATCCATTTCAAGATATCTTAATGATCTAAAGATATCTTGAAATCCTTTCCTGATATCTTTAAATATTAAAAAGCTACTTGCTTTAACTTTAATAAATGTCATTGCACGCCAAAACGAAGGTTAAAATTGCTAACGGAAGAGTTGCCCCTGAAGGCATTTTTAAAATTGATTACGGGAGAACTCTTTTTAATCGTATAATTGGCCCTTCTTCCTAAAGTGGAAAGGGACTGCAAAAAATTATTCCACTTCTCTTGAGTGTAGAGTTACCGGGGGCCTGGTGGTTGGTTGTTTGTGACCGACTCCAAGTCCAGTTAGGCACTTGCGAGACCTCAGTTGGTGTAGGCTAATGGGGAATACATGTTACTGCTGGCTAACAAGTATAGACAGCATTCAGGAATGGCACACCAGACAGTGTTCTCTTAAGGTTTTCCCAGGTTTCAGCTTTTATGTGTAAACTCTTCTCAGTAGACAAAGTGAACAAGGGATAACAACAGTGGTTCGTGGTGAAGGCCTACCGCTGACACTGTAGCCTCTATATATCACTTATGCTGTTAATAAAATGAACAGTACATCATGCTACGTTTACCCTAATCAGCATTTTAATTATTTTATTCAAACCAATGATCTATTATACCCCCAGTCTGTCAGATAGGTTAATTAATTGGAAAAGAACCAAACATAAAGTTTCCCGACTGAATTCGGAATAATATCAAAACACAGGTCTCATTATCTGATACTTGGACATGGGTTAAAACCGGAACGAATACATTACAGATTTACCACAACAGATCCCCAATACCTAAAGTTATGATTGTACATGAGTGAAGCACTGGGAGGACCTATTCGTCGGTTTATAAACAGACTAAATATTCGGGATAAATTCTTTCTTTAATATGAGTTTCCTTGAACTATTCCATTCTCCAGAATTACTCATATTGATCAAAACGTTTATGAGGAAAAGGGACCAACCCAATCGGGAAACGATAGGCCCCTTTTAACAGAAAATTTGATTTATTTTAGCCTTGGAAAGGAGAGTCTGACAAAATGGCAGCCACAAAAAAACCTGACGCGCACACCGTAGCACGCAGAACAGCGCCCTCCCGCACATACCAAAACTGAGTCTTCTCAGAAGATCAGGAAATTTGCAGTACACTCGTCAAAGTTTGGCTGTCGTACCGACTCCTCCGAAACTTAACCCTTCGAATTTGATTCTGGATCCGCCCTTGACCTTGTCCTCGACTCGTTTTCGTGGCAAGTCTCTCGCCCTTACCTTCATTAATTATTTTGCTTATTGGCGCTCTCATTTGCACAACTATCATGACTGTCGCCTCATTTAGTTTGAGAAATAGCAGGAACATTTTAATGGAAATCGTCATGCATATCAAATTTTTCTCAGCTTTTATATGGTTAGCCACCTGATCATGCAGGGTCTGCCGCGTGCACCAGATGTCATGAGTCGATCACGTTTACCGAATACCAATTTCTCTCGAGTAAATCCCAATAGTGGTCCTCCAGATTCCAGTTACATGCTGTAACAGACATGGTTTATGATACTTGGTATATAACTTCCTTAGGACGTCTACGTTGTCCAGGGTTAGTTACAGATGACTAGACGTTAAAGGCGTTTTGAGCGGCGAACTGGCGTCCAGTCTTCGTGGAGTTTTGATTTATAATTCTTTTTGAAATTGTGCTATAAAGGCATTTTGTACGAGACATCGATTTTGTGAAGTACAAGGGTCAAACTGACGTAACAATATGAGGTTTTGCAAGGGATCACAAGCGTGTCCTGGAACATAGATTCTTAAACTCTGTTTAGCAATAAAACACAATCTTGCTATCACTCTGTAAACATGCTTAGATACTGAACATTAATTAGGTCCTATGGCTTAACACTATCCTTCGAAACTCTAAAAGCTACTGAAATCTTTGTTCATATGTACATGTAATATACCACAGAAAACTGGGATACAAAAAACCAACCAAGTCAGAGGTTGACTTTTTGAAAGCGAGTAGGAAGTCTTAAATTCAGACTCTGTCGCTATCGAGTCTAGGCCTACCTGTTTTTATGTTATCATCTTCAAACGTCTTCATCGGTCGCGTCCATGATGCAAGTGGTTGTTTAGTCTGAACCGAGCTACAAACTAAAATGCTGTTTGTACAAACAAAATCAACTGTAAAGTCCGTGTTTCTTTCATTTTGATTGTCTTTGAACCGTGGAAATACTGACTGTTGGAAGAATAGCGGCCTCATTCAAAATAAAAAATAAAAATCACCGCCTCCTTATTTTACCAAAATACGTTCAGTACATTGTATCTCTTTGCCGAAAACTCATCCGTCACCGCCGCTGAGCTAAGGGTAGTCACTCCATAGATTTTGAAGTTTATAAATCCGCCATCTGGTTGATTTTTTTTTTCAATTTTGCAAGTTTCATGTCGTATGTCAGTGTTCTCACACAGAAAATGTGGCTGCAGATGAACACCAGAGATCTTTAAGAAGAGGAACTTGCCGTGCACCGGAACAAGATACTGTTGCGTTCCTTATTACAAGTCAATGGTAGCATGGACTTCATTACTAGTGTCTACTGGATGTGATATTTGGGGTCGACAATTTATTAAAAGGTGGAAGGGAAACAAGGAGTTTGGGTGACAAACTGTAAACGTAGTTAGTTTATTGCTCTCACTTCTCTTCATCAAAGTTCAATGTGGGTTTGAAGAGGATGTGGCTTAACATAATACAACACAACAGGCAAAGTTACAGAGAGGCGAAGTTGTATACAAGTGCAACTGAACTACGGTTTGGCAGGACCATTGCAAATGCAAGTCAGACGGAGTCGGTACGGTACGGGTGTGTAGCATCGCACAACTAGGCTACACTCATTGGGCCGTGGTGGGAGCTGTCCTGGGCCACCACTGTGACTAGCAATAGCTTGATGGGGGCCAGCGACGGCATGTAACGACCGCACTCCCGCTCAGACCGCAATGTGATGACTGCAATGATAGAATCGCCGCATTATGTACCACTGGCTCAGCGTACAGACGGGGAGGACCGAGGCCAGTTAGCAGGACAAGGGTGGCGAGGGACACGGGGGTGTCTCACCCGGCAATCGGCTCGGACGTAGCGGTGACGGGCCGCTACGACTCTCACTAGCACCCTGAGCTAGTTTGTACCGCTCTTACAACGGTCCAAGCTAAGCTAGCTGGGCATTCATATGGTTACATTTCTTCGCCATAAGAATGGTTACTATCATACTTCTCTTGGAGAGGGTCCAACCGCCACACTAGGTTAGGTTTCGCTCGCACAACAAGGGTTTGGTCCGCCGCACCCGACCAACGAGCTAGAGAAAATGTGCTCTATTTGTAGGATTCTAGAGGTTAAGAATTAAAAAACAATACAAGCGTCGTTGACCAGCTCAACCAATGGAATCTTCCATCTCAAAGGGTCACATGACTTCCTGCTAGAGTCGTGTGCAAGAATCTAAGTGTCGTGTGCAAAGATATTATAGCGCCGCGAAACAGTACACGTAAAATGTTGTAATCGCATAGGCGCCAATTGAGCAAGCGATACGCCTGCGCAATGCACATTACTGCATAGGCGCAAAGTTTTAAGCTGCATCCGAATCTCTTGTCTAGGGCTAGGTCTAGGTCTTCGCTCCAATGGAAATGCATGGAGACGCGCAGACAATAGACCGAGCCGTAGCTCTGGAAGGCCGTTTCGGACATGGCCTCCTGAGGTTTCTGAATATTAGCATTCCAGGGAACCTTACCACGCCCAACCACGCAGCCACGTGACATGCCAAACTGAGCAGAAAAACACAATGTCAAAGGAGTGAAAGAACACGCGATCACCGCAGAATACAGCATGACTAACTTACTACAAAATTAGCGTCTCTGCTACATTTCCATAATGCATATATGACCTAAATAAGAGATCCTGGGAATGCAAAGTACAAGAACGAGTAAAACTAAGGGGCGCTAGAATTCCAACAAGATTTGCGGGTGCGCACTGTGGTGCGCAACAATACTGTAACGTCAACTGCCTGTGCTAGGTCTCGCCACGCTGACAAACGACACTCACGGTGAAGCTTTTTCTCAGGTTTTTGTGGCTCTCGTTTATTATAACTCCGACTCTCTTGTTTCGCATCAACTCCGAAAACAATGTCAATGTGCTTCTAAAACACGACCGGTCGGGGCCCCCACCACACGGCTCTACCGTGGATCCGACGCTACAATACTGTAAAAATCACTCTACTTTTATCAATTGTGGTGAACAAATTATCAGGCGCAAGACCCTTTTATGCTTCTGCTTAGTTTCAGAAACTGTATAACGTTTTTTTTAAAGTCAGGAAAAAACAAAATCAGAACCGTGCAAAGTTTTCAAATCGTTTCTTCTAAAGTATTTCCTGTGATCAAGACCCTTTATTCATCCATTTTTGGACAACTGAAATTTAGATAAATTTGTGTGGGCAAAAATGACAGCCTGAAGAATTTTCATGAGAGATTTGATCCTGACTGGCGACTACATCCAAGCAGTTTAGCACGCATGACAACTTGTGGGATTGCATCCTGGTAAAACAAGCCTGTAGCGATGCTTTTTTCACACAGTGGGAGGTCACTGGATAGCGCTGAGCATTGAAACTCTAAACAGTTGAGTTACAAATGTCAGTGACGACAAAACAATTACAAAATTCCTTTGGGGTATTACTTAATCTGGGGAGTGGTAACTCGTGGTGTTGTACAGCTATTGTATTCAGTCTTACCACTTAATTTTGCACCGAAGGATGTTCAGTTGCATAATCTGTGTTACAGAGCTCCTAGAAATTTGGGAGTTTTTAAGTGAAAGGATACCAACAAAATACCCCACAAGTTGAAGAAAAACAAATGGAAAAGTTTACCACTCAATTCACTTGATACAAACTTAATGTAAAAGTGTATCATAAAAAATGACAAGAAATAAGCACTTCAAGTGGATAGGTACGTAGTCTATGATTTCACTAGTCATTCTGTACATGTAAAGCTTATTCAGTGTACAATCAACCTTATGTACTGATGTACTGTTTCAGAAATCTAGAGTAAGACCATGCTCAGCGTTCTGAAAGATGATACCACTGAATGTTATAAAACAGCATACGGTTTGAGCTGTGTTAACACTAAATCTTGCGTTTTAACTTGGTAAGATCTAAGTGTCTTCAGAAGTATTTTCAAGAGTGCCTGAAATGTCAACCTGTCATGTAAAGCATAAAATATTTAATTGTGACCAGTCAGCATAAAGATGGAATTACATAAGTTGGTAATTCTGTACTTGTAGCCATCATAAACATTCTGCAGATAACGAGATTATTCGTGCAGTGCATGTACATGAATACATTACAGAAAATACACACAGAGCTTAAAACGCCCATCAAAAGAAAAAAATGAGGTTTATTTTGATATCTACTACAGTATATTTTACAGACAAATTTTTAAACTGTTGAATAAACCATGTAAAATATTGTCACAACATACACTTCAGAGCACTACACGACATGCATAGCATGCATGCGGATGATTTTAATTTGATACACTGAAAAGACTGCATCAAAACAAGCAAGACCACACACCACATGCCTTAAGGGGAAAAGGTCACATCTAAATATGCTTTCATCTGTATGCTGCTACAGATGTTATTAGGGGGGCAAGATCAGCACCCCAGAAATGATCACTACCACAAGGTTTTTCATCCCATGTCCACAATAAGAACACAATATAGATCACAGAAAAACCTTGTACTTGTAGGGATGCTCTCTACATTTCTCAGAAAGTGGCTTTTCAGAGTCCCATTCAATTACATTTCACAGTACAGTACTATGTTAAGAAGCACTGGACATTTTCTGAAAGTAATACTTGTGAACATTTGATATGCCAAGTTTGGTTAAGATCCACTGAAGCCTGATAATGCTATAAATTGTCCCTCAAACCTGGATTAAAAAAATTCAAAATATAAACAACTAAGAGAGATTTCAAAAAGTGGTACTCTGTGAGTGTGCATTCTGTTAAAGTCCTTTTTGGGTCCTGTTATGGGCATGGCAAGGATTACAAAGTACAAGTGGCGATTGACTCTAGCCCAGAGACTACATGTACTAATAAATTTCTCTTGCTTTATTTCATCTAAATATATTTTATTTATAACCCATGTTGGGGTATAAAAAGGCAACAAAAGTGTGGTGGAAACATTTTAAACAAGTACATTTAAAACTGCATTGGGGCCTGGGGAAGATAAGGGACTGAGCGATGATGTCCATTTGAGAGTATTAGGTTTTTGAATTTGTATTCATAAATACACTGCATAAGAAGTGTAGTGTACATGTATTTACTTGCAGACATTTTTCACTATCTGTAAAAGAAACAAGTGCTCCCTTTCATCCCTCGCACACCTTTGATGTTCCACTGTACATTTAAATTTAGTTTCTTAAATTTCATTTTCACCTTGTATCAAACTCTAGAATTAGTATCTAGTAATAACAGAACCGCGGGGAGGGAAGGAGGAAGAAAAAAAAAGAAAGTCCTTTTTACATAATTATGCAGAAAAGCAAAACGCAATTGACTAACAGACCCAAACAACTCATGAGTTGAAACTGAAACTCTTTCTAGGCCACACACTGATTTTCGACTTTTCATTAAAGATCAATCTACATGTACGTTTGAACATTCCTTTCTGTTTGTATCTCTTTTTTTGCTTTTCAACTTTCAAGCAACTCAATTGGACTGGGTTATTCACATCACTCTTGTGCACTAAATCATACACTTCTTTAGCTTCCTGAAAATCTGGAAAAAAGAAAGAGGTGTAAATTATAAACCCACTTCGATCAGTCATGAGACAATGGAAGTAGAAGTTGTTCTCGCCCTCTTGTACTTCATCATTGTACCCACTGTAATACCATGCCTTGATGGGCTTCGTCAGGTAAGGATTCCATTTTCTTGGCCTGATGTAGCGTATCTGAACAATTGGGATCTTTGCTGCATGAACCGCTGTACATACATAAAAGACAAATATAGGGAAAAAATTCAATTGATCAGTCATTTCTCATTTGAACAATTTTCTACAGATATTCCAGTAACTTACAATGAATGATTCATTAATCTTGTTATGATCGAAACTACACGTACTTATATGCAGTGTACGAGTACGAGTAGTCTGAAAATGGTACTCGAGTACCATTTTCAGACTACTCGTACTCCTACATCCAAGTACTTGTACTGGAACTACAGTTCTTGTACTCGGGCTACAAAATACTCGGAACTCAACATCAGAAACTGTACTCGAGCATCAAAGTACTCATACTCGATTAACAGTACTCAATAAAAATCCTTCCAGTTAACTTACCACGGCCGTTAAAATAATGTAGGAAAATATCGACCCCCAATGGCCCAATATTCGATACGGTTCTGACAAAAAGAAGGCCAAATGTGGGACCATTAATGTATACAACCTTTTTGCCGTCTGTGGGCATACTTAACCAATCAATATTGTGGTACTCCAGATAAGTCCCGCGATTTACTTGGGCATTGGCAGTCTGGTTTCAAGTACTTGAACCTGTAACTAGAAGTACTTGTACTCGTACTAAGAAGTGCAAGTACATGTACACGGAAATCAGTACTTGTACTCGGCTGGCAAAGTACTTGACCTGTCTTTGTACTCGGCAGTCAAAGTACTTGGCAGTACTTGGTACTTGGAAAAAAGTACTCGATTGCAACACTGCTTCTACGTACATGTATGGGTTGGGCCACTGCATGAGAACTGTAATTTCTTTTTTTAATTGAAAATGCAAAGGAAAAAATTAAGGTATGTGAAATTGGAGTTATTGATTCATCCACTATGAATGTTGGAAGTACATGTACATGTACTCCAGTACTTTACTTGGGCTGTTTTCCATCTAGATGGTTCGAAGTAGCGCAGGCATACCAACATTGTTGGCGGGCTAATGTTTGGATTTTAGATTGATTTCCACGTCACAACCAGTGATAGCACAGCAATATAAATAAAGATGGTGGCAGATGACACCTAAACCTAAGCTACATGTAATGCTGTGCCTGTTCCCATTTGTAAAATGTAGCTAAGTGGACTCAAGATGACTGACTTGTTATTATGATTCAGTATCAATAAACGACATAAAGCCCAAAACACCAAAGGAATAGTAAGGGGAAAAATCTCATTCGCAATACAAGGCTTGTATGTAACTGTAGCTACATGTTTACTTCTTATGAAAACTAAAAATTGGAGATATCTGTTGAATCAGTGCAGTCTGAAAAAGGGTAGGAGGGTAAATAAGCTGACTTCAGAGAACGGGCCCTTGGTGTCAGTTTTTCATGAATAATGTAGTCCCAGCCAGTGTAACAATAAATTCTATTTGCTGATTAATGGATTTCTTTCCTCATAAACAAGTACCTTACATTGTTTGCCAGCAGACTAACAGTTTACTTTCAAATTTAAACTTCAGGATTAAAAGCTTTTATTCGTATATAATAAAAAACATTTTGTTTTAAGTTGAAGTAAAGTAAGTGACAAGGCTGAAATGGTGCAATGAAGTGGGCTAAAAAGTGAATTATTTGAGTAACAGATTACTATTCAGGAGCCTTACTTGTGCGAGATGCCAATTTAAAAGAATTAGCCGAACTTTTGAAACTACATTAGGAAAACTGATCATCCAACCACCTTAAACAATAAATGATACATAATAAAGGTTGGAAACTTTCTACATGTACCTCAAAGACAATTAGTGCTATAACTAGGATGAAACGTCTGGGGGTACTTGGGAATGCTTGTGTTTCTTTAAGGAGGGCATTCAGAGCAAAAAATAGCACCTGTGGGCATGGTAATCCACCAGTAATTATTTATTTCATTATGCCCGTTTATTATCAGGGTATCCCATCATTCAAGTATCAATAAACTGTTCTCTCTGGGGGCCCTTTGTTAATAAATGAATAATTAAAACAAAATCACAAATATAAATTAAGAATTACAAGTCAAAAAACATTACTATAAACCAATCAAGTAATTACACCCCCCCCAAAAAAGGAAATAAACAAAGTATACATTAAAAAAATTTTTTAAAGTATATTGATTAAAAAATCATTCTCTTAATTATTTAATTCAAACATGGGGGGTGGCAAGTGACACATGTTATGCCAACATGAACACAAAAATACAAAATGCTGGATGGAAAAAACTTCTACAACCTACATTCATTCCAACAAACATGTACTCCAGTTTCATACATACCCTTTACCCGCAGCGAGCTTGTATTAGGTTCTGTAGCCTGTATACTTCTTGATCTCAGAGGAGCAACGCCTGTGAAAGGAGTGACCAAACAAATTAATTTGGACTACAAATACAACAGTGCCTCAGAGTGTGTAAACTATACATGATAATATGGTCAGCAGTGCCTTTTCACTTCTCTGACAGAAGTTTCCCATGCAAATCTATAGGCCTATCCACCTTGAGCAGAAGTAGCTCCTCATTGGTTGAAGGGAGCCACGTTGGTGGGAGTGTTCATTTTGTTGGTAGTAATGCAACCATAGCACGTGCATTTCTTAGTTGTTTGTGAACCAGCAGAGTGCACTACTCTACCGTTGCTAAGAAACTTGTGCCCTCTATTGGTCCAGCGCGGGGCTCATTAATGGCAAGACACACTTCTGGACGAAGCAATTTTTCTACAAGCTTCACGTTTGCTACCGTTGCCCATGCTGTTTTATAATGTGTGTTCCAACTTACATTATAAGATAAATATTTCAAGCTATTCAATCATGACAGCACAGTAAAATACGTTGTCAACTCAACTGCTTTCAAATTTACTTGAAATGAATTAGAAAACCTGTCTTTATGTATTTTTTCATTTATGATTAAATCTTCAGAACCAGGTTTCCTCCCTGTTTTTGCCGTACATGTATACTTGTTAGTTCCCTGTAGATAGCACACCAGTATTTGGCAAGTTAAAATTAAATTATGGTACAAGAAGAAACTTCTGTTCCTTAAATTCCCTAAATTAAGTTTTACTTCAATAAAATACATTTTTAAAGAATTATCTTAGGATAAAGAAAGCGATATATATTGATATACATGTACTCCTGCAACAACATATACATGTATTTACCACTCAGCCTAGCAGCAAGAAGCCTGTTCCCGGTTCTTGTCAGTGCCTCGCAGAGAGCTTTTCTCTGGTTGACATGACATTCCAGCTTATTTCTCCACTGGCTAAGCATCGCAAATATTTGACCAAGAATGTCCCTAGGATTGTCTGCCTCGATGTGGGATATTTGTGCACGTTTGAAGCCAAGATATATAGCCAGATTCTTCCAGTCATTGGCATGAATCTCCCTCGCTATGCTGTTCAAATCTTCATCATACAACTCCCCTGTAATAAAAAGAAATTGCAGAACTGATAATTGTGATCACTGAAAAGCCATCACTACTGTACCAAGAATATTGATCACAAGCAAGTTTCATGATTATTTGTGTTTAAGTAAATTTTGTAGCACTTATAATTATGTGCTCAATAAGTCTAGTTACAGTCTTCTTGTAAGTTTTGGCTTTGTGAGTTATACAAGACCTCAAAATTACAGCTCACTGCAGAATTCCGACACAAAATATTCGTAAAACCTGACTTGACACAATGTACAATCAAACTTAATGATTCACAATACACTTCAAAGAAAATTGTTCAATCTTTTTATTTTTCAGAGCAATGTAAGCACAAATGTCAACTCAAATTTTGGTCTTTTTTTTGTTTTTGCCCTTAGAATACATGTATGAGGCACTGCTTGGTCAGGTTACGATACCAACCTGAGCTAAGATTTTCAACCCAGTGTTCAAAATCTCAACCCCAGTCTGCAGCACAGACTGGGGTTGAGTTCAACCGGAGTGAAATCAATCTCATAGGTGACTCCAGGTTGGCCCAAGGTGTGAAATGCTGCATGTTTATAGCCCCATGGCACTCCAGAGATTTGTCCAATGTGATACGATCAATCAGCAACGTAAAGTGATGTAATTGGACACTGCACATTGCCTGTCACTTCGTGTTGACTCCTCGTTTTTCTTTCTCTCTTCGCTTTTCCATCAATTTGAGTCAATTACTTAGGAATTAGGCAAAGAATTGAATCCTGTCTGGAAGTCAAATGGGAATTTCCATGGTGACTCACGTTACATTTTAGTTCATTTTGAAACTTTTATAACCACACACATACTGAAATGTAGCAGTTAAAAATTCCACTTACTTTGTGTTGGTACTTGCTGACACTTGGTATAAATATCACAAACAAAAAATGATTTCAAAAGATAACAACGCTTTCATTGCTTTGTAATTATAACGTGACTTGCGTTACACAAAAAGACAAGTAGTAAAATCAGCTTAGGTTTAAATCACATTTCTCCTCAAACTATGAATTGGAGAAAACAATGAATAGTTATCAGAAACTCATAACTCAATACATTTTCTACATCACCTACATGGTATGCATTTCCCAACCAGTTTAGGAAAAAAACATAAATAATCGATGTGACTCACGTTACCGTGACTCGCGTTATCTCAAGATTACCCCCCACATTAGCTTGTTTGTGTATACATGTAGTTACCAGTGCAACAGTGCTTTCAGGTTTGCAGTTGAGAAGACAAATAGTTGCCGAGTTAACAATTATAACATTTTCATATCATGAACGATAAAAGAATTACTTTGAAGAATTGACATGTGGTGCCTCCCCAAAACCATGATGTACCGGTAAATGTTATTTTGAATGAATGCCAAATTACCACATATGGTTGTTCAAACACACATTTTTCAGCCTATACTGTTTAGCTTTTGTTAGGTTTGTTCCTTTGCCTTCTTCAGCTCACAACTTTTTAAACTCCACTCGTTCTGTTGCTTATGGTAGTCATTATACATGTACTTCTCAATAGCACAAAGCTTTTCATGTCCTTTTCGCTGTCTTTCTACCATACAGCAATATCTGAAAAAAAGAAACAGTTCTAGTAAACTTCTGTGACACTCCTTATGGGTAATTTTACAAAAATGAAAGGCAATTAATGATACCTTGCAAATTGTTAAAATATTTAGTGCAAACATGTATGCCCTTGTAATTTTATATGTGAAGTACATACAAATTTGAACATTTCATGTGCTGTCACATTGATTCCTTGGATTATTTGGCACTAGTAAACATGTATAATGTTGTAGGATACAAACTATCAAAGGTGACCCAGGCACCTCTGCTGGGTTGGGGAAAACAGTCAGCTCTTAAATCACGTTATGTGTGGTTTGTGAAAAAATTGCTCCTTAACCATTTTACTACAATGCCACTCAGCAATACATGTACATACCAAGTGCTAGTAAGTAATATTGTCAACTATACAAGTTTTAGGCCTAGTACATGTACATGTATGACACATAAAATGCAGAAAGAGAAAAATAAGGCTAAAATAGGAGAAAATTTACCCGTATACCCGGTATGCTACATTGTGTATAATCTGGCTAATTACATGTATTGCAATAGCTGTGGAGGTCATTCTACATAGAATTGCATGCATTCATTTGTCCAAATTCTACAATTAGAGCAATTTTGTGCTTCTTTTTCCCCTCATTATTTACTTTCACTTTGAGCAAAGTTCTACTTGTACTTCACTTTTCACCCCTATTGATATGATTTTGTGAGAAAGTTATATGTACTTACCTTTATTTCAGATAGATGACGACAGATGCATATCTTTTGTTTTTCTGCCGACATATACATATTTACATGTAAATGAGGAATGTTGCAAAACTAACCGGAACTGGCATATGGAATTATGAAAATATTATCTGCTGCCCTCTATTTACGATGCCAGTGAACTTTAGATAACAATTGGCACTGATGAAAAGATAACAAGCACTGCAACTACTGCAGTTTAAATTGTGACTCGCATTACCCTACCGCTAAATGCTGTGACTCGCGTTACATGTGACTCGTGTTACCAACGTTCAGTGGCAGATATATTATCCTAGGCAGATAACCTAGGGTTGGTGTTGTTATAATTTGGTTTGTTGCACACTGAAGGAGGAGGCTTATAATTGACAAACTCAATACCCCTGGGGTTTGGGTGTACAGTTAACTTTTCGTGTATTATGTGACTTGCGTTACATCATCACCACCACCTGATTCAACAGGTCTGTCCTGAAAAAGTTAGAATAGAAAGGGAACATTTGTCATAAAATGTAATGAGAAAATGCTCTTATGAAACTATATCCAAATTTTAGGAGGAATGTGTATAGCTCTTTTGATGTGTCAAAACTAAATAATTACAGACATAATGTTTAAAAGGTGAATTTTCAAGTTAAAAAGCCAGCAAAGATTAGTTAAGAACTTTTTTCCATAGCTTTAGTCAATATGCTATTATAAAAATACAACCTAATTAAAAAACTTGGTGAAAAAAAATTGAGGCCATTTTTCCTCTTTACACGGAAATGCCCAAATAATGAAAGCTTTGCAGATACACGGGGACAGATACAGGAGGGGTCAGGCTGGAGATTATTTTTAATCTCTCAATTTAGCAGGTACATGTAAGTGGAAACGATGAAACACACATGACATGCATTGATTACGATGGTATTGGCGCACTTAAATTAGTTATTTTCTATTAATTTCCCAATTTTTTTACCCCTACTACTACTCTTCCATGTGCAGACATGCATTACATCCTCCATGATTACATTCAACCTCATAGCCACTTTACTCAAATACAGTTAACCTTGGGTTATTTTGCCTGGCAACCTGTATATGTTTGCTCATGAGATCAACAGCTGCAAAGCGGAAACTGGTTATTTTTGTGAACATTAAGATGACCAGTATCCTCCTACGGGCACAGAAGTACCGTGGCCTGAAGGCCCACCCCAGTTTTGCTTATCTCCCACCACTATTAACAAGTACATGTAACCACAAATCTGTAGAATCTGGCTGCCAAATTTAACATTTTGGATGACATGTTTACATTTGGGAATGTTTATGTCTCACACAACATTGTCTTAACGTCTGAGAAAAAAAATTTACCCTTAAAAAGTCCAGAATCAACTTGACCTACACTCAAAAAAGGGAGGTCAGTAAAGTGGGCCCTAAACCTATGGAGACTCCCCCCCCCTTGCATATCAACATTTTGATTAGTGCCAGTCAAGTTCAAGATTTTAGCTTAGAGAATACTGATGGAACAATAGGAACGTGTACAAAAACTGAAGTCATTATTGCAGTGACCGAGTAGCTCAGTATTTCAAAAAAAGGAAGGTGGTGATCAGGAACAAAACACCCGAACAGTCTGCGTAGGGCCATGCTGATAGGGTAGACCTCGGACATCTGAATCACCTTGGACACACTCATGGGCATAATTCTGGAGTGGGAGATATATATCCCCCACTTTTTTGTGGTGAGCAAAAAATGTGAGTGGATTGTGAAGACTTTTGCAGATTCCAATGATAAAATGCATTCAACATCACTTAAAAAGGGAAAACAATTTCAAAAAGCCATAAATATGTCATTTTGAAGCAATATTAGAGATATACATTAATATCATGAACACCGACCTCTGTATAGAGTCATCTTGTTCCCCCTCCCCTTTCAAAGGTTCATGTCATCCCCCTTCCTCACCCCCCCTCCCCCACCCCAATTTTACGCCACTGGACGCTCCTTATTTTGGGCATGTACACGTAGGAATACAGCAAGTAGTACCTATACAATTTATACCTTAATTTCGTGGTCAAATTTTATATGCTTTTCGGGGAGGGATTACAAGTAAGGCAATTTGGGGGGTTCAACATTTCATTTGCTTTCCCTATAATTTAGCATTACCATTTGCAACAAAAACTCCCTAGGACCTAAAGGAGGTTTGCCCCCTTAACAATTCTGACTGTTTTACCCCACGGGATCTTCCCCCAAGAGTCTTGTACACGTGCTACGTGTAGTATTAGGCTTGGTTCACAGCCAAAGTGCCAAAAAGCTTTGGCTGTTAGGATAGGCTTTATTAGGCCATCTCTTCATTGGCATATCCAGGGGGGCAGGGGGAACAACCCTTGACCGATTTGTTTCAATTTTTTTTTTCACCGAGAATATTATCCTGTTTGCGGGTGAGTTAGGAAAGAAACTCATCGGTATATATTTATCTATCAAATTGTAACGGGACAACGTACCAGTCTGATTGTTTAGAATTGCATTATGGGAAGTCAAGTCTCATAGCTTGTCAAGATGGCCCCTGTCAGTTGAGTTTATGATTGTTGTGTAACGGGCTTATGCTTTACAAACAGGTTCGGATGGCATTGACAGGAAATGGGTGACAATGCGGATTATAGACAAATACAAACACAAACGATTAGGTTTATTCAGAAACGTGTGATCAGCTCACAGAAGCCATCTTGCCAACAACAGCACGGCTTTCCCACTGATAATGCACTTGACTATGCATAAGTATGGAGTGCAAAACTAGACAATTAATATATGTACAATTACACCGCTACAGTTGTTGATGTTTTATTCGTCCATGATTAGGCCTAATGAACCTCTGCTGTCTCTCATTCCCACATTGCCATCCACACCTGTGGTGATGGTAGCCACCGTTAGAAAATAAATAGGGCCTAGGTCATATTTTTTCTCCCAAATTATCATGTTGAATGAGCCCAAAAGTTACTTTTGAATTGGCCGCCCCCCCCCAAAAAAAAGCTGGACAGCCTACCCCACTGCTTCTCTTGGTCTAGACCCGTAAACAGGGCCTTTCTCCTCGTCCGTCCAGTAGCCTATCGACGGAGGAGTACAGATAGCCCTGTTTACAGGTTTATCTTTACCTTCCTCCATGGGCATGATGGGCCTAGGGGCCGGGTGGGCGACTGGCACCGTGGCAGACGAGGACTGTGGGGAATCCTACGCAAAATAAAATGATGCACCTGCAGGTCTATGCTCTCTGATTTCCTAGGCCTAAAAACACAGTAACGCGGTCTAAAAACGTCGGGCCTATCACTGTAAGGTGTAAGTTGTCACTATGTTACTCCTCGACAATGCACTTCGGCACGTTCAGCCTTGCCCAATAAGTGGGGCCTACGTGCAGAATTAGAATGGAATGTAAGCCGTTTACTTTTCGCGCCATTTTCGCAATGTTGAGTCAGTACCATCACAACCGGAGGGGACAGTTATGATAATTTTACTAAAGGTCATTGGAAAATTATGAATGTGCCAGTGAACTCGACGTGCATAAATTATGCTAACAAGCATGAAAACGCACGACAAACAGTTGTCTACCTAACCAATGTAGTCTGACGCGTAAGTTCGAGTCAGAGAAGTCGGGTCCAAAGTTCAGTTCCTCAAAAAAAAAAAAATTTAAAGAAAAAAGATGTAAAAATTTAGATTGTCTTGAAATATGTGCACTTGGAAAGTGCACATATTTGTTTAATTAAAAAACACTCGTGCAATCTTATTTCAACTTAAGCTAGCAAGTGCCTGGCCCCCTCCTTTTTTTTTGTCAAAATCTGTTTTCAGATTTTGTTTTTACTTGTTTTTGCAGAGGGAAGTAATTATTCCCAGAGTAATAAGATGAACTGAAATAACATTACATTTTTCTGTTTTCCACAAATGCATATTTCAACAATCAAAGAGTTTCTCTTGTACTTCAACAATACGGGTGATTTAAAATGGTACGCCTCCAAGAGTTTGCAACATGTTGACCAATTACAGTGTGCAAAATTTGTTGACCCAATGCGCGTTTGGAAAGGGTCGGCAGATTTTGCACACTGTGTTTGGTCAACGCGTTGCAAACTCTCGGAGGCGCACTATTGTGATTCAACCATCTTAATGCACTGTGGTTTATTGAATTTCTCTGAATAGTACTGTCTCATATTACTTCATTATTTTTTATCCAATCATTTCAAATATCCATAAACATTAAAAAACACGAGATCATTCTATTTGTAAACATTTATTGAAGTGATCATCCATTTTTACCCTTTTGTCAAGAGAGAGAAACTAATTTGTTCTCACAAAACGATATCATATTCAGAATAGGATACAGCTTGGGAGAAGTGAAATAAAGCGAAGCATCCAGTGGAGCGGCTTGTCACAATGTAAGCAATATAATGGCTATGTTTATGCCAATCCGACACTTGGCTTTATTGTAAAAAAGTGCAAAGTACTCACAAACTTGAATACTTAAACCTGTAAAATCCTGAAACCTGAAAAAGTCCAGAGAAATCATACCCCTAGTTTTGGTATACAGAGTATCACGTGCTATTTTTTGTTCTCAGTACCTATCTAACCGCACACTATGGGACTTATCAAAGAAAACTGGCCGACACAAATCCTCCAGGAATAAGTCCTTAGTGAAGAAATAAGTAGCAGAGCCGAGTACTGGCACAAGATATGGAAATGTGTTTTTTTTTTCCTGAGAGTGACCCTCAGTTCATTCATGAAATGGTAATTTTACAACAGCATTTTTCCAACACAGCTGGGTAGAACTTTTCAAATTAGTACTAGCGTGTATAATTATTAACAGAAGAAAATACTCTTCAGCAAAATTACAGAGTATTCCTCCGAGAACTTGAAAAGAAATCCTTTTTTCAAAGTGCTATGAAACAATCAATGTATTTGACCAGCACTGCATCCTTGTCGAGGCTTGTTGAATGTCCTTTGAATTTTTTGAAGGTAAAATACATTAATTTTATACCAGTTGAGGTTTTTGGCTAAAACAAAATTGCCAATTTCTCCAACTGAATGCTGTTAATGACTTGATTAGTGGTTAATTTCCCTTACTTTTTATGAACTTGTATCTACTACTAAATACTTTGTGTATGTGCAATATGGTTACTGTACAGATGCAGAGAACGACCTAATGTAAGCTAATCTTCATCACTGTCTGACTCGACGATGCGTCGCCTAGCAACCCGGTGGAGCGGCATGTCATCATCTGAATCCTGTGTGTCACAGTCCATCACTAGATCTGTTGTTGGGAAATAGGCATGAGTCTGGCTGACTTCTGGTGTCTCTGAAGACAAACCAACACAGAACTGGCATTATAAATACTACCTTATGAGCTGTGCACAAAATCACCCCCATGTTATCAACTTGTGAAAAATTACTTTAATATTCATGCACAACATATTCATGATTGTGAGCCAAAGATTCACTGGTTCACCATCAGTCATTATTCCTGCCATCTACCTGGTAGACACCAGGATACACACACAGAATAAATGCACATGCACAAAGGACTATCACACAGCTTAATACCCAGGAGCTAGTGTACTATACAGGTGCTATAATACCATTGCAATGGGATAGTGCATATATGTCCTGGCCACATGTAAAGACAACACAAATAAGCTATTAAATCAATATTTTCCTGCACTTAATGGCTCAGGAACCAGTTTGTCATCTTTAAGTACCCTGAGAGCGAACCCAAGACAGCAAGTTTTGAGCACTGTTGAGCTGGATGTCAACTGGGAATTGAGTCGGAAAGCTTAAGTAAGATGACACTATCTTAATTGCCCCATAAAGAAATTTCCCATGTGGGAAGACAGCAAGTTTGGAGAAACCTGTATGCTTAATTCAGTCAATTCTGCACTGCAGCGCTGTGTATTATCCACCTTAATGTCACAGCTCACAAATTTGCTGAGCTAACTCGGATACTACTTCACAGTTCCCGCGGGTCATCAGTCAATCTCCCCCCCCCATCCTCTCTCCCACCATTTTGGAGAGCATCTCACCTTGTGAATGCATCTGGGAAACTCCGGTCTTGGCTGCGCCAGTTTCACTGTCACTGTCATTGTCACTGGACAGCAGCAGACGGCTTCGTTTGGCAGCAGGCTTACTCATAGTAGGCAGCTCAGTCTCGCTGGTGACTGGGTCACTCTTTGGTGGTGACTCAATGGCACTGAGATTTGTTGAGGGAAGATATCGGTAGCTTCAGTTGATCATGTTAGGGTTCACAATAAACCAACATTATGGACAAATTAACTTAATCTGGGAATGGAACTTGGGACCTTGTAAAAGTAGAGTCTGATATTTAAATGCAAAGCTAAAAAGATCAAAGACCACAATGACAAAAAATTTGCATATTCCAAGGCTTAAAAGCCTTGGCCTTCTGTGGCCAAGGGGTGCATTCAATCAACTTGAAGCAGGAAAGTCCATTTTTTAGTGTCAATGTATAAAAACAAATAAAATTGTTGGCTAAGCAAAACAGAATGGCTGGTTCACACTTGATGTGAACTGCACATGAGCAGCAAACGTATGGCATAAATAGAAAATATTTGTACAATGAATTGAATAAAAGCTGTACTCATCTCTAAAGTTTTCACCATAATTGTTTCTTAGTGTTTAATTTGCTTCACAATTCCTACTGGTATGTGGCACATACAAAGCAAATAACCAACCAACTCTTACCTTTCATCATCAGATGAATCGCTCTGCAGTGCTCGTTTGACCCGACTTTTCCTCTGACCAGACCCTGGCGATATTTTCTTGCTGGCCGTTCCTCCGCCATCGCTGACGCTCTCTGTGCCTTGCTCTGTTGCCGTTGGCAACCTATCGTCATCCATGATGACCCTGTTAACCACTTCGGTGACGGGGAGCTCCTCTCGACAGTCTCTCCTCCTTCGTCGCTCCCCGGGCACTTTCTTCTCTCGTCTCCGCTGCCTCGCCATCTCCTTCAGGGCCTTATACCTGGGATTGGACTTCTTCTTGCGCTCAGCAGCCGATTCGGCAACCCCCTCCTGGGGCTGGATGGAGTCTGCTCCCTGCCGGAGCTGTTCTGGGTCAAGGTGACCTGGGATGCGCCAGAAGGTTTCCTTGGAAAAGACAAAAATTGTTTAGACCCTTTTCATCACACCGCTGAAACATTTCACCCCGTGTATTTAATAATTGAAGCACCTGACGCTGTGCTAAATTCCAATCAGACAGCCAGGCCAAAAACCAAAGAAAGAAAAACCAAAGAAGAGTGGTGTGAGATTTCTTGATTCAGAAGAAAGCTCACAGACTTGACCTTTCATGAGCAAGCAAGTAAAATACTGCCACACAGGCTGATTAGAGGCAATTAAGTGGAAGACAAATCCTTCCTATATGGAAACCATTTGTTTGCATAAAAGTACACTATCCTCCAGAGACATTCTGTACACAGAAAAAAGGGAGTCTCTGAGCTAGCATTTTTCAACATATCAAAATGGTTAGTTCAGGATTCAATCTGAAAGTGACACTAGCCAACCTAAAGGCAGGTTCATGTACTTCATGTGCCAGTGAAGCAAATATAATGTTATGATACCTTTGCAGTAAAATTCAACTGAATTGAAGTGTGTTTATCTCTGGGAAATATTTAATATTTGATTAAACAGCAAAATTGTGTTCACATTTATTTTAGTGACCAGTATGAATTACTGGGATCAGGCTATTAATTCCTCTCACTACAAAATATTAGGCACCGCTTTTTGTTAGAATAAATCATCTGTGAGCAAGCACAACATCAAGGTGTTCCACACAACCCCCCTCAAGATCCAAGGAATGCTGACTTCTCACAAGGACCGGCAAGATCCACACCGCCGACCAGGTGTATACAAGATCCCTGCCAGTGTGGCAAACTGTACATCGGAGAGACTGGTAGGGACCTCCCTACCAGGATCAAAT